TGACAGATTTAAAAAACCATACACACACACACACACACACATATACATTTCATTCCTTTTAGGTTATTTTTATTTAGGGTTTCCAAATAAAAAGAATAAGCACATAAAAGACAAATTTATATCTGTCTAAAAAAGGTAAAGATAAATATATTTGTTATTAATATAATTTTGTAATAATTTTTTTAAAATAAAAATCACAAAAAAACATATGCCTTTTATTTCCACTATCTCCGCGACTTTACAGTAACCAAACGCGGCATTCATTTCACAGCAAATTGCACCCATAAAGTTGATTTGCCGCGCAGGTATCCTGCCACCCTGCATTAAGTGTACTTCACGCGCTCCAGTTGAGAGTGGCGTTGGATTCTGATTGGCTACACCTGTGAAAAAACTGGAGAATCTAGGAATAAGAAAGGGAAATGGAAAGAAATAATGAAGTGAAAAGATGCAGAGAGTGAGAGTGAAACAGCCTTGGATCCTGAAAAAGTTTGTTTTCTTTTTCTCTCACTTTCTTGCTTCCCAAACAACACCCTTCCATTCTCTCTCTTCCACTCCCCTAGAAAGTGCTCTGTGTATGTGTGTATATATATGCAAGAATTAAGAAAGGGAGGCATGGTACTAGACTGAACACTCCTCCTCAAGCTTTATGCTTTCGTGGCTAGTCCATTGATAAAAAAAAAAGAGAGAAACACAGAATACTGAAAATATATGAGTACTAAAAAGTAAAACTTCTCTGTTTTTACTTTTGTTTTTGTCTTGGGTTTTCAAGATTTATTAAAAGAAGAAACAGAAGTGGTATAGATCATAGGAGGAGGCAATGGGAGCTAGGTGCTCCAAATTATCACTCTGTTGGTGGCCTTCCCATCTCAAATCAAATCTCAACTATTCCTCTGATCTTGGTAATCTAACTTACTTTTACTGCCACCGGCAGTACTATTTCATCTTCCTTCATTTTCTCACTGCATTCTCCCTTTTTTTTCCCTCAGTGATTAGGGTTTAATCTATTTCTCTTTCTGGTTTTTGGGCTTTAATAAATAATACATAAACTTGTGTGTTTAGAGAATGGGGAGTTATTGCCTGGTGGGTTTAGAGAGTACAGTTTTGAGCAGCTAAGAGCTGCCACGTCAGGGTTCAATTCGGACAACATCGTATCAGAACACGGAGAGAAAGCCCCGAATGTAGTTTACAGAGGAAAGCTTCAAGAAGATGATCGCTGGATTGCTGTTAAACGCTTTAACAAGTCTGCTTGGCCTGATTCTCGCCAATTCCTTGTTCGTAATTTCAATTTTTTTTCCATTATTCTTTTAATGTTAATCTTGCTCTCAGTTTTAAGCTTTTTGTGACTTTGCTGCGGTCGGATTTTTATTATATAGGAGGAGGCTAGAGCAGTGGGGCAATTAAGGAATGAAAGATTGGCCAATTTGATTGGGTGTTGCTGTGAAGGAGAGGAGAGGTTACTTGTTGCTGAGTTTATGCCTAATGAGACTCTCTCTAAGCATCTTTTTCATTGTAAGGCCAGCTTTACTCTTCATCCTTAATTTTTTTTTGAAAATAGTTAAGCATTAGTTGGAATTAATGATAATGTGTTAAAAAATGAATTTGGGTTCAGGGGAGAATCAGCCGATGAAATGGGCTATGAGGTTGAGAGTGGCTCTTTATTTAGCTCAAGCTTTGGAGTACTGTAGTAGTAAAGGAAGGGCCTTGTACCATGACTTTAATGCATATAGAATTTTGTTTGACCAGGTGCGTCCTATATTTTATCTCTCTTATATAAAAGCCAGCTTTCTTGATTTCATGATCTGCATCTTAAATTGAGTTAGCACTTGTCAGGATAGTAACCCGAGGCTCTCCTGCTTTGGCCTGATGAAGAACAGTAGAGATGGAAAGAGCTACAGTACGAATTTGGCATTCACCCCTGCCGAGTGCTTGAGAACTGGTAATAAGTGAAGCTGGTGTGTTTGCTTGCTTGGATTTGTATGAATTGGGTGCCAATATTGTCAATATACTATTGATTGAGCTTAATGTAGATGTCTATGTATGGCAGGAAGAGTGACACCGGAGAGCGTGGTTTATAGCTTTGGCACCCTATTACTTGATCTTCTCAGTGGAAAACATATCCCTCCAAGCCATGTAATATATATTCTTTTTGAACTAATAACTTTTTGAGGTTGAATTTCCATATGGATTTCTCCTAGCATTTCTAAATGATATTTAGTTGCTCTGAAATTATTTTGTTTTTCAATTTATCTTGAATTGAGGTCAGAATTTTCATAGTAAACAATCAGCTTTTAATACTTGAAATTTGGATTGTATGGTGCCTGATCATTTCTGCAATTCAGATAAAATTTTGACCTAAATACTGCCTTTTCCCTTCACTTGCTTCTTTGGCAGGCACTTGACCTTATACGTGGAAAAAATTTTCTGATGCTGATGGACTCTTGTTTGGAGGGTCATTTTTCAAACGATGATGGAACTGAACTTGTGCGTTTAGCTTCCCGTTGCTTACAGTATGAAGCTCGTGAGAGGCCCAATGCAAAATCTCTTGTCACTGCTCTCACTCCTCTTCAAAAAGATACTCAGGTGTGTCATTTATTCCTATGCCAGGCAATGCACTCATGTATGAGCCATTTCGTTGGTATTTTTATAGTGATGCGCTTTCAGTTAAAGTTTTCATCATGTAAATTAAAATGGTGCATTTGTTTAATATATTATATCATCTCAGTTACCGGTATTTAGCAGGTTCCATCCTATATTTTGATGGGTATTCCACATGGAACTGAATCCCCAAAGCAAACAATGTCATTGACACCTCTAGGGGAAGCTTGCTCAAGACTGGATCTTACTGCAATACATGAAATGCTGGAAAAGGTGGGATACAATGATGATGAGGGAATTGCAAATGAGGTTGGTATCTAGTGCATATTTTGTTTGATTTTTGACTAAAAGCTTTGCCTGAGTTGAACAATGCTGTTAATGTCTCTGGGTTGTCTGATGGTTTGATTTACATATTGATATCCATTGTTTCTTTTATTTCCATCATTTTTCAGTCAGCAGAGATTACCATTTCTCATCCAGTCATACGAGTTTGTTCCAATATTTCATCTCATTCCTTGTTCACAATTGACATGTCAAATATTGTAACTCAGAATTTGGAAGTGCTTTTTATTGATCATTGTAAACTGCTAGAAACTATGAAAAGTATCAGACTCCTTTGGCAAATAAAAGTCTACCTGCAAATACGAGGGATAACCCTTCCAAAACAAATAATAATCATTTTCTTCCATGCTGAAAGTTTCATTTTACAACATGATAAGAAACAGAAAAGTACTTTGATTACCCTTTTCAATTATTAACATGTTAACAAAGTTGACTTGTTATTTTATTTTTGTACCTTTACTTCACGCTGAGTGTAATTGAATTTTTTTTGCCTTGTAGCTTTCCTTCCAAATGTGGACAGATCAGATACAGGAAACGCTGAATTGTAAGAAACGTGGTGATGCTGCTTTTCGAGCGAAAGATTTTAACACTGCCATTGATTGTTATACTCAAGTAAGTCATATTAATTGACAACTGCAGAGACATTTCTGATATAGGCCGTGACATGGTAAAATGTATGGTTGCTGCACATTTTTACTGTTATGTGATATGGAAGAGATAGGTAAAGGGATAGGATATGCTCTTCTACATTTGGAATAATTTAATGAAATAATTGGCTGTCCTACAACTCTATAACAGAAGAAGCGAGGCCTGTACTTTACAAGAAAGGAAACACTATTATAAAGATGCTGTTTTTATATTGAAGCAAACTTTGTTTCATAACTCTATCAGCATTTCAAATAGCTTCACCTTGCCATGGATTAAAATATTACCATTAGTTTAGTTATTGATTTGATGGAAAGTCATAGAACGTACTTACAATTTTACCTAATTGCAGGATATAACTTTCCTTTTCTGGTTGTGTAGTTTATCGATGGCGGGACCATGGTATCTCCGACTGTATTTGCTAGACGCTGTTTGTGCTACTTGGTAAGTGACTTGCCACAACAAGCTCTTGGAGATGCTATGCAAGCTCAAGCAGTTTCTCCCGAGTGGCCCACTGCCTTCTATCTTCAAGCCGCTTCCCTCTTTAGCCTTGGGATGGACACTGATGCACAGGAAACTCTAAAAGATGGCTCATCTTTAGAAGCAAAAAATCATGGAAACTGAAAATGTATAGCCTTTCGTATTTATTTTTTCCTTTTAAACTTGCGAACTCCATGTATTCATCTCTATTTGTTTCCTTTTGCGCTTGAATTACTGCAGCACCACAGGGGTTAACTGTATTATTTATATGCTTGGTGTACTTGTCATTATCATTTTGATCAGAACTCCAAGACCTTAACTATATGGGAACGTGTTGTTTGTATTTGGATTAATAATGCATCCACCACAAGCGGAAACAAAATTAGCTTGTGTTTGGTGATGCAATTCCAAGCACATCTCAGTTGAAAAAACATCAAAATGACAAGCCTTTTATGACTACATGAACGTCTTTCTTAGGAAACCAGAGTCGCCATCGAACAACAAATTTTGAGTGAAATGAATTGGAAAGCTGGAATTTAGACGGGTGCCCGTTTTATGGATCACTCGGACAGATAATCTGAACTCAGCTGATTAGTGACCTCCTGGTGCGACTTGACTCTGGATAGCCTGGTTTAACATCAAAGTCGCACGGATAAAATGACTTCTCGGTAGCTCCGAACGGAAAAAGAACGTCGACACGTGCCTGAGAAACTTGGCTGCACTAATGGCAACCTGGTGGAAGAGAAGAAATCGGTCGCTCTTTCTTATGTTAGGAGTTAGAACTACGAACATTGAAAATGCTATGACATTAGCAATCAATTATCAATAAAGCACCAGTAAGTTTTTTAGTTCCTCAGAGGAACAATTTGCCATCTGAACCGTACATACAAATACTCAATTTTTCTACCAAAAACAGATATATAGCCAATAACCTCCAGTTTCACCAAATGAGGTAAGATGTAACATTAAACAGAGGAGTTGAGTAATGTTCAATTAACATTCATTACGCAATATTAATTCATGCACCAAAAACTGCCAATAATAACTCAGCATTACGCAACAAATTTAACATGTAAATGACACAGATGTTGTACTAGAGGAATAAGATGAACTCTCATCAGTAAGAACCCAAGGCCAAAAAATTAATCTTACTTGAAGTAAAAGCTAAACGACAGAGAAAGAACTGCAATTAATTCTTAAGCAAATGAAGATGACATCATAGATTAGAGATGAGAAAAATGACAACAAAATGATTTTTAGTCCCTTTCCTCTGCGCATGTAACATATATTCATGTAGAACAAATTTCATAACAAAATGATTTTTAGTCCCCTTCCTCTGCGCATGTAACATGTATTCATGTAGAACAAATTTCATATCCGAGCAGGTCTGAGTTTCACATTGGACGTTGACCAGCACTAAGCATCTGGCCAATGATACCATTCACCTGGAAAAACCATTTGAGCTTTGATTACATCCCATCCAAATAGGAGCTCGAAAATGATGTAATAGCAGAAGTATGAAATGGCTAAAAGCACAGACACATTTTCAAAGCAACCACATATGTTTGTTGAGGTACAGAAGGAAAGCAAATATCAGCATTTACATATGTAACCGTATAACAATTCTTCATGTTCATATATAATCACAATGAACACTAAAATGTTCCTACAAATGTGGAACCATAGTATATAGAAGTAGAAGTCACGCACTATGAATATTAGCCATTTTATAATTGGGTGTCTATGGATATGCTTAGAACAATTTAAATGATGATAGTGACAGCCAAAACATTAGAGAAGGTTTAATCTTTCTGATTAAAACTACAACCACTACTGAAATGCATCCAACAACTGCAACTATACAAAAGATTTAAAGTCCACAGGTCGAGGTACATGCTAGCAAGATTTTGCAAGCAAGTCTTGAATAGAAATGACAGGAAAAGTAGCAAATGAATTATTGAGCTGATAAAAGCAAGAAACATGATATCATTACTTGTGCTGTACACCTAAAAAAAACTAATACTCGTACAAATGGATACATCTGACAAAATTGTTTCACAAAACTGCATTTAAAAATATCAACATACATGAATTGGTTAAAACAGATAATTGTTTATTAACTAAAGTTCCAAGTATTGCTAAACAACAAAGAGTTGTAAAAGTCAAACAGCGAGTTGAAAAAAGGTAAACAACCTACCGCCCAGTATTTTGAAACACATCTGTCAACACAACTATTTTCACCCATGTTTAGCTCAGCATCCTTGTGCCTGAACATGAAGAAAAAACATCAAAGTTGAAGAACAGTCCAAAAAACAATAAAAATGAAAGTAAAGTTCAGATAATTTCAGCACTTTCATAAGGATCCCTACAACTAGAAGCAAACAAAAAACAAGAAGTACCTTCTGTCAATGCACTTGTTGAAACATGTATTAAGAAGCCTGAATAAACAAAATAAAATGAGAAGCTCAGGAAATTCTGTATGGAAATTGGAACCGTCAAAAGAATAATTTTGGAAGCATATATCACCAAAATGCATGACCATAAGCACATATCAAGATAGCCAGGTGGTGTATCAAAACAATCCCATCCATAAACATCAAAGTTAAAAAAAACGCTTCGGTAAACAGCTAAATCCTAGCACTTCAATACTCAATGTGAGCTTTTTACATAATCTGAGAATCAAACAAACCATAAAAGAGAACGAGAATAATGAAAATGAAACATGCATAAAAAGCAACAGGGAAAACATTGTAATTGTTTAATAAACAAAAGCCCCCAGTTACCCAAACATATCCAATGCTCATGCCTTTCCCTCTTGCTAGTAATAACACAAAAAGGATCATCATATTACCTGTTAAACAACTCGACTCTGTATTCCATCTCGGTCGCAGCCATGCCATAGGCCTACACCACCATCATCAAAAACCAAAAACTCAAAGCACCGATAGAAATCCACAAAAATAATAGTAATAGCATTTCAAACAAAATATATAAATAGAAAACAAAGCAAATGCTAGTATTCAAAACCAAGCACCAATCACCAATCACCATAAATAATCAAAAAACAAAAGGGTAATCTACTTCAATGCCTAGAAGTCCCATAAGAGAAGAGAAAAATCTGAAATGAAAAGACCCACCTGTTCTTTGGAGACACCAGCTGGTAGACCAACGTTGTTGGCAGCCATTCTATTCGCTATACACACAGCACAAGAAAACAGCTATCAACCCATAATATCTTTATATTCAAAAGTAATCTAGAACGAAATCGAATCCAAACTTACAGTGTAAGAAGAGTAGAAGGAGCCGCGAGTTGGATGGGAATTAGGGTTTTAGGAGAAGAGAGACCACCGTGTGTGTATTCTTTTGCAAAAGAAAAGGTAGGGAGTTGATGATGATGTCACAGCCCAATAAGAAGAAGCCACGCGATCAAAGCCCGAATGAAGCTGAGGGAGCAAACTGTAAATCCGTGACAAAAGGGAACACGTGTACAAATACAAACACTTAAGCAAGACCGAGCCTAGTTTCACCATTTAGGGTTTAGCTGTTTTGGGGCTTCGGATAGAGAAGAAGAAGAGTGGAGAAAGAAAGAAGCACAGAAATCAGAGCGTCCACAATAATAAACAGGTAAGAGACGAAAGAGATGCTCTCTATCCAACCTTAAAAATAAAATAAAATAAAAAGATCTTGTTTTTGGTTAGGAATGGAGCACGGTTCAGTGAGGGATCCAAGCAGCGCAACCTTCTGCTTTGTAGACGAAGATCATACTCTCGCAAGCTCTGTCAGATTCGCCTTGAATCAAGAGTCTCTACTCCTCTTTTTCCCTTAATTTTTATTTTTGTTTGTTTGTTTTAATGAAATAATTATGGTTGTGGTGGCTTCGCAGTCCAAGGGTATCATTCTGTGGATACAGCATTCCTCATCCTTCTGATGCTAAGGTTAACATTCGAGTACAGACTACAGGTATGTCGTTACTTATCCCTCCTCTCCTCTCTAATGCTACTACCTATGCATACATTATTCTTAGGATTTCCCCTGATTTTCAGGACTAGATTGATTCTGTTATGATGAGGACTATTGATAATTCTATGTTTATGTAGTTTGGATTTTGTAAAGCCTTGGTTTCGCAGTTTCAATTACTGTTTGGATTTCAATTTGGTTCATTTATCTTCTGTGGGCATGTACTTGTAGATTAGAGTTGAAGCCAAACTGTTCTGTTGATCCGTCTTATCCCAGTTATTGGTTATCAGGAACCCTTCTCAGTCCAACTTAAGAATCTCACTAGCAGCTTGCTGCAAATGTTGGGGTTCCTCTTTGAGATGTGCTTCTTCTCGCTAAACTAAACTAGTTTGTCTTTGATCGAATGCCCCACTCCTATTTGCTTCCTGGTAACAGTTGGTGTGATCAAGGTGCTATTAAGATTTTCAATGCAAATTAACCAATACCTAGCAGTCTATTTACATTAATCATGTATCTTCTCTGTCAATCATTCACAAGACCTTGACCTGTTAAATGATCATGCAACTACTGCAATTTTCTTTCTGGTTTCCCATTTATGTTTTTTGAGTTTTGATTTCTTGCCTGTACGTTTTGCAGGTGATCCAGCTAGGGAGGTGTTGAAGGATGCTTGTCAGAATTTGATGGTGATGTGCCAGCATGTCAGGAGCACTTTGGACCAGGCTGTTGATGATTATAGAAGCAATCACTCAGATATGGATACAAAATAATGGTTGAGATTGATGTAACCGACTGATATCTTGATATATAACTTACTTTTTATGAGTTTAGCTGAATGTATTTGATCCAATTTAGTCAGTGATTCTTGTATGATTTGTGCTGTATCATTTTGAATTGATATTTCTGCTATCGTAGTTAAGCAGAGACGGAGAGCTATTCATGAAGCAGGCAGGATGGGGCATTTTTTTAAGTTTTTTCCTGTCTTCTCATACGGAGGTGTGATTTGTCCCCATTTGATATGTAGAAAATCACAGAATGGTCCAATGGCCAAGTGATTTATAGAACTGCTGCAAATTGGAACTTAGGTGCTAGGTAGTGCATTGCTTGAGTTAGTGCACACCTGGGCGTGATAATAACCAAACAGAGATTCATATCTGCTACAAATACTACAATCATCCAAAATTGGAAACTATGGCTCTTAAACATAGAAAGGACAACAGGCAGGAGTTGCAAGTAAAGAAGCCAACAATTTATGTGTAAGTTACAGAGACACGGGTAAGCTACAGATGTGGCACAAGCTAAGAGGAGGAATTAAGCATCAAAAACAGGCACTTGATGGAATGGGGGTCGCACCTCGTCCCTGAAGCCAATAAAATGCCACGGCTTGCTTCTCAGTTCAAGAGAGGATTTTAAAGTGAAAGAGCCAAGAAATGACAAAGGCCACCACCATGCAGGCAAGCAAGAAATTCATAATGCGGCGACTATGCCAAAATGTTTGGGTCTCCACAAGGATCAGAGGACCTGCTGGTGCTGATAAGATTGCAGCGCTAGCATTATGTGCCACATTTGTCTGCTCGCCTGCAACACCAAGTGCAGTAGCACCACATATCTCGCATGTCCTGTGAAAACAGGAACAAATACAGTGGAGCACAACGGTATTAAGATAAATTAGAACTTTAATCAAAATTAAATGGCCATAAAACTAAACATGGAGTCTCGAACAAGGTAACGTGTTGAGTTTTTGGCTAAAACGGTATGTTGGCATAATGCAGCAGATGTATACAAAACTCAATGCAGAAAGCTTAAATTAGGGGCACACGTATATGCAACCCTTCGTACAGACAACGAAGGCAACAAGTTGGAAAAACACTTCTTTCAGTAAATGAGATACAACACCACCTTTGACAGTGGGTAAAACCACCATAGCATGACAAAAATCCCCAAGAAATGGCTGTTATATACAGAGAAAAGGAGAGGCAATGATAGTGTTATATACAGAGATAAGGAGAGGCAATGATAGCCAAATGAAGATCTGTGTTCTGTATAAGAACATGTAATGATTCGCAAATGGAAGACAAAGGGAGAAGTTTGCATACATAACAAGCACTCCCGATGTTTGGAGAATCTCCCCAAACTGATTTTCATATTACTGCAATCAAAATTCTCCTGCCTGTTTCCAAAGCTTGGATCATTTGTACAAACATCAGGAATTTGAAAATGATCAGATAAAGGATGTTGGGCCGAAGATTAATTAATCTTGTCGAGGTAAATTATTCATATTGCCATCAAGAAACTTGAAGTGAACCTAGCCCAAAGGAGTACAATAATTGAAGCTTCGTGCTTCAGTAAAGCAAGGACAACTGATCATGGGAAGCGGACAATCAAATGTTATGTGCATAGATAGAGACAATAAACCAGAAGAAGACACTTACTTCTAGACATTCATAGAATCAGAATTTCTGCAGATGAATTTTTTGCATATTAGTAGAGAAGCACTTGTCTACTTCTCAAAGTCAATACTTGCACAAAGAGACGAGTGTACGAGCGTGCATTGGTCCCCACACTACATGCTTTATAATAGGTAACCATTATAAACCTTCTATGCTGTGATTTATTAGGAAACTTAGCTTTGGTTCAAGTCAGGGTGACCACAAGATTCGCTACTTCCACATGATTTCTACTTGGCCTTCAATTTTACAGTTCTGTTTCCTCTTATTCAACTAGGTCACAAAGAAGCAAAAGAATAAAGACAGCTATAACCGCAGCATGACAGGAACAAGTGCTAATGGTAGCTGCAGAGTGGTTAGTTGGGCTCACGTCAAGCACAAGGAGGAAACTGAGAAACTTTATCTAGGTACATTTGGAGATTTGAATGTGCTGATATGTGATTAATTAGATAAATAATCAGAACAGGAATTGTTGAGTTTAACTGGTCATTGATCAAGAAGGATCTAACTCAAGCGTTACAAACTTATACCTTGGTTACTCTTCTTTTATCTTTTTGTATAATTGGTTTGCTTAGAATAATTGAAGTTGCTGAGGGTTGAGACTAATTAAATGAGGGAAGTATTGTCTAACCAATTATACAAGGTCTTTAACATATCCCTTGTTCTTCTTCCTCCAAAACTAACTCTATGTTGCCTTGTTGTTCTTGCTCATCAAGGGGAGGTTTCTATTAATGATTAATAAAAACTCAGAAGAAATACTACAGAAATTGGAAAAGTACATTTACAAATCAGAGCAATATAATCAAGAAGATCCCAAAATCCTATTGCAAACACTTCAAGTCACCTACATGCGGGATCGAACAAATTGGAACTGACAATCCCTTAAATTCCAAAAACCAACAAAACTCTAACAAGAATTTTTGAACAAGCAGAACATATTATAGCTTAGAAACACTTTTTTCACAACCATAATGTAGAGTTCTTCAAAACCATCACATGGATATTCTGATTTTCTGACAAGTAGACTGATTCAACAACGGAAGTTAAACTTTTTTAACAAAAAGAAAATGGAAAAGTTAGTCTTTACTCACGTGTTACCCTTGATTTTGAACCAAGTCTCTGCACATTTCTTGTGTGCAGCACCCAAATCACCCTTACAGGAACACCCCAACTCAATAGCTCCTCCACATTCTTGCTCGCTAGTGTCCAAACCCAAGTGGCAAATTCTACAATCTCTCTGAGTCTTATTGTCCAAATGCACCTCCATATCCAAAGCTCCACTCTCCAAATCCACCTCTGACAAGCAATCTGACACTGAAGAGTTCCTATGAGCCCCAATCTCACCAGAGAGTGAGATGTCACTGCTGCTGGCACTGAAATGAACTCTATCAAAATGGGGAGCGTGTGAAGCTGGCATTTTGAGAGAACCCAGAAAGGAGAAATTTGATGAAAGTGCCAAAGGCTGGGGGTTAGCCTAAAGGTTCTCTTTAAAGCATTCGCTTCATCAATTGTCAAAAGAAGAGAGGTAGCAGCAAGAGAGAGAGGGAGAGAGAGGGGGGGAGAGGGCTAAGTTCAGAGTTTAGGACAGATGAAGGAGTGTTAAAGGGAAGCAAGAGATACAGGATTACAGGTGGTGTTTGTTTCTTTCTCAATTTTCTTTCCTTTTCTGAAAACTCTCTCTCTCCCTCTCTCAATATCTGTGTGTCAGTTTATGGCAGTGTTGGTGATAAGGAAACGTAAGGAAACCTCTTTTTGTTATGGTGGTGCAGAGCAGAATTATTATGGAAACTGTGGGGAATTATGAACTGAAACTCTCAAGTTTTATCTTTTCCTCTCTTGGTATTAACTATTAACCAAATTATCTTCCTTTTTATTTATTATGTTCTACAGAAGAGGAGGCTCACAATCAATCATGTTGTCCTTTTCTTTTCTTTTCTTTTTTTCTCAGGAAATAAAAAAGATTTATTGTCCGTTTTGCAGCTCATCACTTGCCAATGCTGCTTGATAAACACTAGGAATGTTCCGCCTCCTAGCTACTGGCCAACCACCAGAGAAAGAACCAGAATTATTAAACAAGGCATGTATTCCAGGTTGGACGTTCTTAAACAGCCAGGAGTTTATATGTTGTACGGTTTTACTCGATTTTTTAATTATTTTTTTCAATGGTTTTAATCTTTTTTCAAAAAACTTAATATTCCATCGATTTTAAGACAACCACTTGAAGCCATATTTTAATTGAGCCATGAATTAATAAACCAAGTCAAATTAAATTAATTTTAAATTAAATGTTTTTGTAAACTTAGATAAGAGCTATTTTAACTTCTTCTTCTTTTTTTAAAATCATACTATTTTTAAAACAAATTTTTTAAGCCATGTTTTGATTGGATAGCGATTTACCTGAAGTCAACTCCAAATTAATAGCCGAACATGATATATATATATTTGGTAGTAGCACGTATCCATTGTGAAATGTGAACTCATTTACAACAAAATCTGGCCCAATACAATTAATCGAAGACGCAAATGCAAAAGGAAGTCTAGGTGGAATAGAGGGAAGGCCATGGAAAAAATCCAAAACCCCATTACAGAACACTTGCCTCTCTTGTTTAAGGAGAGCCGAAGGGGCCCTGAGCCCCTCAAGACAAAAGAAGGTATCGTGTCATTTTTTGTCCCCTTGCTATGGAACGAGAAAGTGACCCTCGTGAAACAAAGAGGGTACCACTCTCTGGCCCGCCTGACCTGACATTCAAGTTCTGGAATGCAAGGCAAAGTGGAAGCCTTCTTTTCACAGTGGCCCTACGAGGAGGAGGAATTGGGCATCCAACACCTATTGGAAATTCATGGTAAAGTGGAAGCCGTAGACCAGTCAAAATAACTTTGTCTTCCCCTTGTCCAGAATATATATATATATATATATATATATATATATATATATATATATATATATATATATATATATATATATATATATATAGGAACCTCAGGTTTTGCTGCCTTTTTACTGTCGGCAATGAGCTAGAGATCACAAAATTATGCAATGCATGGAGTGCAATTGTTTTCTACTGCTATGTTTTCTTCCTTTATCATTTGGGAATTTACAGCAACTATGTACGTGTGATTTATTGGAGTTTGTTTATAGAAACAGACAGCATGCATTGCTATGGAGCATGGACAAAGTGTTGATTCAGATAGATATTACAAGCTTTTTCTTAAGCTCTAAAGCGAAAACAGAGTTGGTGATTGCCGAGGGAAAATATTTTACTGAAATAATTATGTTGGAGATCATTCCAAAACACAAAGATACCTACAGGCATGCATAGAAAGGACTGCTAATTATAATTAACACAGTGATTGTAGGACATAACATATATGGAAACAAGCTGTGTGTTCTTCTTCTTCTTGTTTAACTAAAGATCATACGCGATCCCTAATTGATAAAATTAAAGTAAATGACTCCAGTGACGGGATCAAATGGCAGTTGGAGCCCAAGCGACATCAGCACCACCATATAGTTGCAGGGGCTGCATCACCATCACTTCTAGTCTGGTACATGGCACGGCGAGGATTGGCGCACAGGTTTGGCAAATAAACTCTTGCATCTACATATATTATTTTAGCGTACGAAATGTTTGACACATGAAATGAAAGGATAGATATTTGTAGTGGCAGATAGATAAAGAATTATAAATTGGAGTAGAGATCAACAATGCTGGGCAAGCTTGATAGGATGACTCTGAGCAAAGTTAAGTCAAAAACTGAGGCTGAAGAAGAGAATCCGATGAGATACCAACAGTGTTTCTATCGAGGCCACATGCATTCATCAGATTCAATCAACTCGTTCAGTGTATCTAGCTACAACAACATGTGATGTCTTGCAATGGTACTTAATTCCATCTTTCGTCGAGTGATTCTCTAGCAAGCATCGCTTCCCAGAAGTCGCAATTGAGTATGAGCAAGGATCAATCGGCAGCTGCTCACATACAAGCTCACCAGCTGGATAAATTAATACATACCATGTCAAACAACAAAACAAGTCAATACATATATAATAGTGGTATAAAAGATTATAAAGTACTTGTTTGGCATCAAGATTAAATCTGATTTTTCTTAAAATTTAATTTTTAAAGCCAGGAATGCGATCACAAGGCCATATTTTTTTCAGTTCAGTAAGCTTGGAGGCTTGGAGCAAGGCTTTAATCGACGATGCAAACAGCAAATGGAAGTGGGCATGATGAGCAATCAGGTTAATCTGTGAGGTTGTGTTTATACAGGGAGAATACATCTTCAAAGGTCAAATAACTTTCTAGGTATCTTACGCTGATTTAGTACTTAACAAGAAAATACTTAACAAGGGAATGCATTTATAAAGTAAACTCGTATATTTTACGATATAGTTAAATTTGAATCGATACAAATGGTTCCTCTCTTTGAATGACATGAAAGTTTATATAATGATTTTAATTACGTAATAATTCGAGAAATAGTTGTTATTATATATATATATCACTTCTGGACTGAACTTCTTTAATCATTGCACGTAAAAAGTAGTTTCTTTTTGGGTGCATGCGCATACAAAGTCCTTTTCCACTTCAAACTTTGCTCCAGTATCCTCCTCGATCTGCAAGGGAGGAAAAAGACCGATCGACCACCAGGACCGCAAGATGTTCCATAAAAATTCGGCATGAGAAAACATCTGCAAGCATTCGTGATCTTCTTGGAAATCATGCTCAGTGGGAAGTCACTCGAAGCAATTAACAAGATCATGTCCCTTCTCATCAGCGATATAATGTACTATTTACTTCGAAGACTGTCGTGAACATGGTGGAGAATCCGATACGAGTTGGCTGAAAGATGGAACAAGGCATCAAGCTCACCGCCGGACTTGACTGATTTGTTAGTAAACTACTATTGTTGAGAAAAAGTTGGTCCAGTACTTATTTCTTCGTCACTGAAGCATATTTTTTACGATTCGGTTCTTCAAAATTGATTTTATTCAACCCTGATTTGATTGTTTGTTTCGATGAATTTGATGTGTGGTTTTTGCAAAATAAAAAAAATTCGAGAATTTGGTCTCGCTACTGCATTCCGAAGCCTAACAAGCCGGTAAGGGATGAAGATTCAAAACAGGCGGGGAGGCTTGCAAGGATGAAGAAGTAATCAGTACTCGAACCGGGAAATGAGCTAGCCTAAGCATTATAACTGAAGGGGCTAAAATTGAATTTGAGGGGGGGGACAGCTCTACAATTGAGACAGACAAAAAATAATAATAATCATAATAAGAAAGAGAAGAAAAATTGTTTGTCGGAGGTACACCAGAGCTAAGACAATGACACGCATTGTCTTGAAAGAAAACCTTAGTCAAAATAATTCTAAAAATACCTAAAAAAACCATTAATAAATATAGAGAGGATCTGCACACGCTTCCTCAATATGGTGTCTCTTTTTATAAGTTGATGTATATGCTGCCCATGTAAACTATTTTTCTAGACATTTTCCTTCAAATTAATATTTGATTGTATGATTACTCTTCAATTGAATTTTAAATTACATCCTACCTACTTGAGTACAAGTCCTTTTCTTTCATTTTAATTCCATATTCTCTCCTAAAAGCATATTCAATGCAGAGCAAAATAAAGAAACAAATGTTAAATATTGTATTTTAACTTTTATTTTTTCAGCTTTTTCATTTTAGCACAGCACTCAAACAAATAGTTATTTTGGCTATTTATTTGCTAGCCATTCATTTCTACATTTCACTATAGAAATTACCAAAATAAATAACTATTGGCCAACGGCTATTTTTATAATCGTTAGCCAACAACTTTTTTTTTAAAAAAATACATGAGAAATTTTCTTTAAATGTAAGAGGAAAGAATTTGTAGTTTTAAAATTTTATATTATGCCTCACCCTTCTCTTAAATTTAGAAAAACAAAAATCAATTATTCTCCAGTTAATTCATAACATTGATTGTGTTAATTAGCTGAAATTAAAGGTATACTTGTTTGAAAACTTTTTCTATTTTCTCTTTTATATCTCTTGATTTTTTAGATCTTTTTTTGTTAATTTAATATTTGTGATGATTTTTATTTCTTTATTATTTTATGTTTTTAATATGGGTTAAGGAAGACAATTTTTATTTATGTTGTTATCTTTAATAAAACTGAAAGGAATTAATTATGGTAGTTGATATTGATAAAAAGATAGAGTGACATATTTAAAATTTATTTTTGATTGTCTATTGTAACTTGAGGTCAATTATATTTTGTGTTGTTGAACCAGTATATCAATTCTCTTTTAGTTCCAAAAAATAGTTAAATTGTTATGTTAGAACAAGTAGGAGACAACACTTATTATTAATTCGCATGTATGAAAACTACAAAATTGATAGATATTGAATGTGAGCTTCTTTTACACACTCTTATAAGGTTCTAACTTGAGTTTTTTTTTTAATGTAGATGAATTCAAATTTTCCAAGCTCTTTTACCAACTTTCTTATGAGTGAGTCAAAAGATATTCTCTTTCAATCAAGTGATTTTAATCAATTAATTGATAACTTAACATGCTTGAATTTATGCCCATTCGGCAAAAAAATCACAAAGAAGTAAAAATTTCTCACTAGAGGAGGATTGTTTACTTGTCTCTGCATTGTTAAATACAAACAAGGATCCAATTACAAGAATTAAACAACAAACAAAATAGTTCTAGGCTCGCGTATATGCTTAATTTGTAGAGAATGGAGGAAAATTAAATAATCGTTCTCAAATAAGCATCTCAAGTAGATAGCAAGAAATAAATAAAGAAGTCGGTAAATTTATTGAATTTGTTACTCAAATTAAAAATCATCAGCAAAGTGGAATGACCGAAGAATCAAGGGTAATGTTAATATTTATTTATATGTTAAATTATTTAACACATAGTTTAACATTATTTATTTTATTTATTTTTTTACCAGATTAATGATGCTCGGCAAATGTATGCTTCTTGCATTGGCAAACAATTTCAACTAGAACATTGTTGGGTTATCTTAAGAAAAGAACCCAAATGACAATTTGAGTGTGCAAGTCAACATCAAAGGTCAAACAAGAAACAAAAAAAGTCATGTCAATGCAAGTCTGGCTTCATCAATTCCATGTACTCCTAATTCTGTTAGTTTAAGAGAAGTTTAGGAGAAGATAGTGAACCATTGATTTATCAAGATAGACCAATCGGTTAGAAGGCTACAAAGGAACGATTTAAACGTAGACAAGGAAAAGATAAAGTTAGGGAGGTATCTATAACGAATCTCTTATAAAAATTCAGGGATACCCTAGTTGAAATTAAGAATCGGAAGAAACAAGACAGGAAAATTATGTTAGAGCAACAAGCCATAATGATTCAACAAAGTTAAGAGAAACAAGACTTAGACAGGATTGAGAAAGAAGAACAAATTATAAAAATGAATATTTATGATTTGGATCCAATTTCTGCAGCGTATTTTCAAAATAGAAAGTTAGAAATTATGCAAAATAGGGGTTTTAATTTCTAATTAACTTTGATTGATTTATTGTAATGTAATGTATTTTTAATTAAATATGTAGAAAATTCTTGGTTATTTTAAATATATTATTATAAAATTGATATCAATTCATAATACTTTTTTGAAATTCTTCTAACACTTAACAATAATAAGTAGGATTAATTAACTTAAAAGATAACAACCATAATGAAAAACAAAAAACATAAAAAACTTGAAAATTATGATAACATAAGAAATTCAAATCTGAAGATTCTACTCGTTGCCATATTGTTCCCACAAATGTTCAATCAAATCTTCTTGTAGTTGAGAGCTAGTTGCTCTATCCCTAATTCGATTATGAGTTTGAAGAAAATCATGTAGTTTTGGCATTTCACCATGTGACACTGATATAAAGGAATTGACTTCATGTTCATAGTTAAATCCAGGGTTCATTGCTCCTTTATCCTCAATAATCATATTATGCATTATTATGCAAGCTTTCATAATATATGCAAGCGTTTCTTCATCCCAGTATCAAACAGGTCCACGTACAATTGTAAAACGAGATTGGAGCACCCCAAATGCTCGCTTCATATCTTTTCTTGCAAACTCTTGCTTGCTTGCAAAATATTTTCTTTTTGCTCCTAATGGTCTTGGGATTGTCTTAACAAAGGTTGACCAATTAGGATAAATCTCATTTGTTAAATAGTATCTTATTATATATTCATGCTCATTAATTGTATAATTGATAGGAGCAATACGACTTTCAACAAATGCAAAACAAAGATAGGTGACCGATTAAGAACATTAATATCATTTAATAATCCAGGCATTCCAAAAAAGGCATGTCATATCCAAAGATCTTGTGAAGCCACAACCTTTAGAATTATAGTTGGTTCACGACAATGACTAATATACATGCAAGTGGGCATTTCTTTCATTTTCAATGCATACAGTCAATACTCCATAACATTCTTGGAAATCCAATTGATAATAATCGACAAATATCGGCCTTGTTTGGTGCCCTTAGATACCAATCACCAAAAAATTCTACAATTATTTTGACGAAAGCTCTAAGACTTTCTATCACAATGGTTTTTCCAATTCAAAGATATTCATCAGTAAGATCTGTAAGAATACTATATACAAGTATTCTATGAGCTGCAGCTACCTTTTAAAGGCAAGATAAACCAAGAACACCAAGAGTATCTGTCCTTTGTTTAAAATATAGATTATGAGCTTCCACTACATTTGCGATCCGAAGAAAAAGACAACGACTCATCCTAAATCTTCTTTGAAATTGACTTTTAGTCAATTTAGGATTTTCTACAAAATAATTATTATATAACCTTAACCCACCTTCCTTTTTATTACGATTGACAATATTATGACCAGGAATAGAGCCATGATACCCTGTTCTCTGCCTTTGATTATTTCATTCTTCTTCAGCAACCACAGCAGTAGCAACTTGAAAAGCAAACACAGGAGTGTCATCATCAAAATCAAAAGTATCATAAAAATTAAAATTAGAATGATTCATGATGAATTTTAATAAAATATAACAAAGATTGGAGAGAAGAAAATGATGAGAAAAAATGTTAAGGTATATGAGAATATGTATAGATGGATTATTTTTTCAAATTGTAAAATCTTAGAATGTTGGTGGTAATTTTTTCAAAATTTAAAATTTTAAAATTTTAAATATTGGTGGTCATTTTTTCAAAGTTTGAATTTGAATTTACTTTTAAAAAATTAAATTTTTAACAATAACATATAAAACTTAAAATTAAAAATATTGATATAAATAAATTTTAAATTATATTTTTTAACTTTCATATTACTTCATTAATTTTATATTACTTTTATAAATTACTCATATTACTCATATTAATTATATAATTAATAACATCATAATTATATTATATATAAAATATCTAAATTAGTTATATAATTATATTAAAATTAATTTAACATGAAATATATTAAAATTTAATTGACTTTTCTAAATAGTTTTTTACCATTAGAATGCACATAATTAAAAAAGCTATATTTATACTATTCAAAAAATTATTTTTTTTATTTGGCTCTTCAATATAGCATTTTCCATTGGAGATGCTCTAACTTCTCAATTTAGTGTCAAATTTCCTTCTTATCCAAAACCAATAAAGAGCCTAGCTAAGAAGAGAATAAAGAAAAGAAACAAAAAAATACATGTGATTTTCCAGGTTAGCACATTATAATCATATTTATGATTTATATCATAAATTTAATGAAAATTATTTAATATATTATTATTTTAATATTAAAAAAAAATCCAAATTGTTTAAAAGTCATCCATATTTTTACCAGTATCCAAGGTGCATTTAAATCCATCAGTATCCAAGGTGCATTTAAATCCATCAAGTGAACTACAAACTAGATAATCAACGGGAATTTCAAGATTAACCAGTTTTAATATCACCATCTAAAAATTCCCCACTACCAGTCCATTTTTTTAATGTTCAAGGAAACGTTGCTTAGCATTATTTAAAGCGAAAAAAACCCCTTCAACATCATCGGCTTATGGAGTTTTTATAAGGCAGATCAGGTTTCCACCGGTTCAACTGGGTATATTATTAGTCCACGCCTATTGTTTAAGAAAAATGGTCGTAAGGATGATACTGCCACCTCAAATCCGAAACCCCAGCGAAACACGGGAAATAGAAGTAGTTTAAAACCATGCTTCAAGGTGACCAAAGAGGCAGCGCGCTACTGGACGTCCGATACAATCTAGAGACACTCCATTATTTATTGTGGTGAAAAAAGAAAAAAAATTCCACTTCAGGAAAATCTTAAAGAACAAAATTCCACAGTGCTCAATCTTTGCTTCTATTGTCTTCCACTTCCATTTCTGACTTTGTCTACTCTAACAACCGTTCTTTTTCGTAAAATGTCTAAAAAGGATGTTATCGAAAAACAGAAACATCAAATACATTTTAATAATAATAAGAAAAAGAAAAAGAGGAGTTGAATCGACATCCAGGGACTCAAACACCTCCCAGCTAAATGCAACTCTCACTACTCGAGGAATCAACCCAACGGAGACAGCAGAGAAGGTATTGTCAGTCCACCACTTCTCACTGAGAATAAAAAAAGGATTAAGCTGCCTGGACTTCAGTTTTTGAAGCAGTTTCTGTTGATTTTGGTGAGCTTGCCTTGCCTTCAATTGATTTTGCCAAGCTTGGAATGTACTTCCAACAACGCTTGTGAACTCCACTTATCTTCTTGGGAGCAGCATCAGCAATTGGTAATCCTGTATTAAATAATGATAAGACCAACTATGTCTCCACGTAAAGAGAGATATTTATAGGACAAAATACTAAGTAACCAGCAGTTGTTACAAGTATCAACTAAAAGAGTTCAACACTAGAAGCACTGATAACCAGCAAGAAGGGAAGGGTGGGAAAAAAACTTCAGCAAACTCTGTCATCTACAGTCATTCAACGTGCATATACTTTCAGAAAAAGGAGATGGCATGTGGTAGAGGTAAAAGGAATATCACTGAAAACCTTATCGGAAAATATAATTCTAAAAAAGTTTAAAAATTACCCATCTTCAAATATAATTCTAAAAAAGTTTAAAAATTACCGAAGAAACGATCTTCAACCTAGGCAAGCTCCACAAAAAGTTTGGACAAGATTTTTAATTCCTATTATAAATTAGCATAACCAAAATTTATATTTGGTCTTACAAAACAAAAGCAGGCCAGATGATTTCCTAATAGAACCAAGAATAAAATTCTGTGTACCTTTTGAGAGGGGGAGATAGAGGAAAGATTTTTCATCCAACCACCCAAATTCCTAGAACCTAAAAGGCATTAAACCAGCTCAAACAATAACTGTTTTTCACAACTGTTTATCCAGCTTATTGAACTTAGAAATTTGAAAAATTATGATGAATAAATTAACTTTTGATCACGTGATAAACGATCCAGAAAGGGCTTTCTTCTCCATATAAATTAAGGGAAGTAACATGTGCCTGTTGATTATGGTTTCCACGGCTAATCATAGGCAATTGATACAAGTCAGCAAAATTAGTGAGTGGTTGTGCAGGCATTTGGCACAAGTCAGTAAAATTAGAGAGCGGTTGTGCTGCACAAGCAAACCCATGTGAACCAGATCCTTGTTCAAGATTTATTGCAAAGTATTGAAACAATGTGATAAGTTGAACTACTACTTTTAATGGAATTGGAACCTACAAATTGAATCAGAATGAACAAGAAAGCATTCCCTATTCCTGCCTATATTGATGGTTATGCAGTTTTTATTGTTGGGATACATCCCCACACTTACACCCCTCTCCATCAATCTATCATTGACCTACAAGGACACTAAACTTGCATTCAATAGGAATTTTATTTTCACTTATTTATATGACAAATTAAACCTTGGATGCAGCTGTTACTTTAGCAAGAAAGCTAACAATGAAAAACAAAACATAACTTCCACACAGCTCCATCAAAAGGACAAACGCAGCATGTCTTTTGGAACTCTTTTTTTTTTTTTTCCCAAAACAAAGCAGCAAGCATAGGAATATCACAGCTAAACCCCCAAACTGATATCAATTAATGAACATTTAAGAAAAATATTCAGGAAATTGCATAACGAAGACTGACCATCTTTGTGAGCAATCCCCCATGCTTTTCCATGCCTACCATCCTGCAATGATCAGAGACACATTAAACCAAGAAGAACCTCAAACAAAATGAAGAAAATACTCCAAATTTAGCATAATCTAATTATTCCCAAAACTCATTTTTAATAAAGAAAAAGAATCAAAACTTGACAGCAATAACCATAAATTAGACCAGCCAAAAACCCTAAACCCTGCTAAATACTTTAGAATTGATTTGTCAACTCAAAATACGAGCGTGGGGGAAGGAAGGATCCACTGCCTTGTAGAGATTGATCTTGGTGATCTCGTAAGATACATTGGCCCAATGAGATTTAGCCATGTGGTATCCGATTCCCCAATTAGGCAGAAACTGAGCCACCTCGAAGAGGTTCTTCTTCTTTCTTCGCTTCGGTTTAGAAGTCTCATTTTTAGGGTTTTCAGCAGCTGCTGAAGAAGAAGAAGAAGAAGTACTAAAGGTTTTTAGCAAGTTGCAGAATGATAATCTGAATAAGCTTAGTGTTTGGTTTGGGGCTGACACTGCTGCTCTCTTTGCGACGAGACTGCCACCCATTTTTTCTTCTTAAGGTTTTCTTTGAAAGGGAGTGTTTCCTCAATTCTTCTTTTATTTGTTGCCCTTAAACGACAGTGTAGCGTCCGTGAGGTTGGATTTTGTTTTTCTTGGATGACCTCCAAGTTTTCATTTATTTGTTAATTGGCCCGTATAAATTAAGCACTCACTCTTTCTAGTACTCCAGGTTTAATTCCTTTTCTTTTTGTCACCCTCTACTTGCTCCCTGCAACTATTATACAATACAGTAAAAAGCTGTTATTGTGGATTGAAGTAACATGATGAGATAGCTACCCTTCCTACATAAAGTTGCTAAGTATACAGAGGAGTAAGGTTGTCTT